ATTAAGATCACTAGCATCATCTCCCTAAATGATCTAGCTCCCAAATTTCTTGGCACTGAAGCCCAAATGGGAAGTAGCAACATTGGAAATTCTTTGATCATCTCAAAGGATTTCAGAATGGGAATGTCAAAAACTACCCCTTTCAGCTTTCTTCCTCCTGCTAAAGCTTTGATCCTGCATTACCTAATTTGAGAAATTGTTTTTCTGTAATTAAACAGCCCCCTCATCCCCCTCCTAAACTACCCAATGTACTCGCTTAGTTAATTACTGACTCTACCTGTAGAACACTCTCAAATCTATTCTTTCTCTCCACTGCTTTAGTAAGGGTCTTTCTCCTTGTATGATCCCTGAAGTCTCTTAGTTTATACTTCCCTTATTGGCTACTGATAATTGTTTCCTTAACCTCATAATCTGCAGACATTTGTGATTTCTCCATATTAGATTATAACACCCTAGGAGAGAGAAGCTTCTTTCAATCTCTCTCTCTTTTTCCCCTATTATCCTGTAGTAATACTGTACTTGCACACAACAAGGGCTTAATAAATAGACTTTGGTAATAAAGAATGGATTATCTTAAACTGCACTTATTCCCCCAAAGAACTGTTCTACTAGATAATTAAATATTTACTCTAACTTCTTCCAGTCCAATTAACAGTGTTTGTGTGTGTGTGTGTGTGTGTGTACACAGTATGCCTTTAGGTACTTTTAAGTCAATCTTCTAGAAAACACAAAGAGAGGATCAATCTCAAACAATTAAAACATGAATCGAGTAATATTTTTGTTCCTGGTCTTCCTTGAGGAAGATAACACAATGCTTAGTAGCAAATGAGAACTTATTTTGCAAATCTATATCCCCAAAATGCCACCAAACATGGGTCATGCATCTTTCCTGGATTTTGATCCCACTGCTAAGCCTTAGTGTGGTAATTATATTACAAAGCTATTATTCGATGAAATGAAAATGACAAAACAATTTAAATGCTTGTCTAAAAGATTCCGTTAGAATGCAATTATGAGCCAAATTACAATGGAAAATAATTGAAATGCAAGTCTGGAAGGCACAGTTAGGAAACCATCAAAATGCTTCTGTTGGGGCCGGCAAGTGGCGTGGTGGTTAAGGCGCTGGACACTCCCACATAGCCAATCATGGTTCAAGTCCTGGACCTGGTGGCTTGCTTTCTCACTTCCTCTCTCTCTCTGCTTCTCTCTGGTCAAAGTAAATAAATGAATGAATAAATAAAATTAAATAAATAATTAAAAAAAAAAAGAAAAGAAAATTGCTTCTGTTGGGCACTCACAACATTGAGTGAAACTATACACCTGGGGACACAGTCTTGATTCACTAACATGGGCAACATTTACAGACAGATAAAAATATCTCTGCTCTGATTGTTCTGCAGCCTTATCTACATTTCTGAATGCCACCTGGGGTGTGTAACATCATCAGGGGTTCTGGGTGGGGAGGACAGCCTGATAAGAGACCCAGAGGTAATACTGTGCTTCCATTCAACACCAAGAAGATAAAGGCACAGGACAAACTTGGCTTACCTTTCTCTGTAATGTTTCTAATATAAAAGCGAGGATTATAACATGAAAGATTGTTATTCTAAATTTAAGCCAGTGGTTATTAAATATTTGTATGGATGTATTCCTGAGGCTCTGTCTTCTTAAAATATCCTTCTATGTTCCTTTAGTAAAACCTTGATAAATATTTTGATGCCCAGGCTGACAGTGGGTTTAATCACTCACCAAAAGGAAAACAAAACAAAACAAAAACAGTGCTAGATACAAAACAGATCTGCCGGAATGATCAATTTGATGAATGGCTAAGGTCTCTACTCTAAAGTGTGGTGATATCTGCATTTTGATGGTTGAACACACAAACGAGTCTATCAGTAAAATATGTCCCCACTTCTCACCTGTTTGCCTTACACAGTCTGTTTTTGTGGATCCATTTCTTTCAGTTAAGCATAAAGATTAAAAAAATAAATAAATAAAATAAACTTATGAGGAGTGGCTCCAGTAAGTTTTAGGAAGGAACAAATGCCAAAGGAATAAAAGATGTAAATCCTTTTCTCATTCATGGTTATCTCATGTGTTGTCATAGAGCAAGTTAGGAAATGGAATTTAATTTTAATCACACAGCATTTCTCAGCATCAGTGATTATAATGTTACTTGATAGAGTCACTAGGTTTTCATAAAAAGAATTAAATGCTTTTGTTTTCCAAGCTTTAATTTCAAGGAGCCCCTTGAAAATATAGAAAGTATTTTTTGCTTTCTTTTGCAGACTCTAAAACACAAAAAAGATTTAATGTGCATATAAACATGTCCTCTGAGGAGGATTTACAAAAGGAGTTAGAGAATCCTTCTGGCTGAATGAAGCAAGTGTTTGAAGCGGACTCCTAAACTGCCAGGAACGTTACACTGAGGGCATGTTTCTCAGGCTTCTTCATTTCCTCTGCACCAAGTCAGTGAGTGTTAACTAAGGCTGTGTAAGAATATAAATCTCAAGTGCATGGTAACTTTAAAACAAAAATCAAATCTGCTGCCTAAATATTTTATAGAGAGGTCATATTTTTAAAACATATAAACATTAGTGTAATTTGAAATATATTTAAAATCATTTGAGAGAGTAAAGATTTTGTCATGTAGGCAGAAGGTACAAATCTTGAAAAAGATTTGTAAAAATCACCCACAGGAGACCAGCAGTTGGCATAATGGCTATGTCACTGGACTCCCATGTAGTTGACTGCAGTTCAAATCCTGGACCTGGTGGCTTAAACTCATGCCAGGCACTTGTGTGTGTGTGCCCAAGATCCCGAGAGAAGAATGGAGGAGAAGAGATTGTGGTGTGGCCATCCCCCACGGGGGGTGATTTCTAGTTTTCTGTCTCTCTGTCTCTCTCTGTCTTTCTGGTGAGCGCACACGCCCTATAGCAAAAAAAACTCTCCCCAAAAAAGAAAAAAAAAAGTCATCTAGAGAAAAACTCTGTGAATAAGGCTAATTGAAAAAAGCAAAGATACATATAAATTATAGGGAAAAATAAACATTAGCAGAGTCCTAAGAATATTTAAACTACAGTATCATACATAAAATTTGAAATTCCATTTGTCAACATTTTATAGAATTAGCCTCTGTATTAGAAAGGTGTCAAACAAGTTTAATAGAATAGTATGATTAAATTCTAAGGTCATATCTTTGGAAGTTAGTAAAAGAGAAACTAGTGCAGCTATTATAATAGTATAAGTCAAAATATATTGCTCTCACTTACTTGAAATGCATAAAAATAAATTGAAATGTATAAAAAGTAATTACCACAAGTGATAATGAAAATACATAAATGTTTACTCCAGAAGCTTTTTTTTTTACTTTCTTTTGCAGACTCTAAAACACAATATCATTGTATACTTACCTTGATTCTTCTATATGTTTAAAATTTTTCATAATGAAAAATTCAGCTGGAGAAAGAAAGTACCATGCTCTAAGTGAAAGGTATTTACTCTCTATGCCAATAACTGTGCTCAGCAAATAAAGCAGTTTCAGAACTTGCCTCACTGACCCAACACACTCACCTAGCCATCCAGATCCTGAATTTGGTATGCACAAGTCTGTCTCGGCACTGGGTAACACGAAGCCAACGACAAACACCTCCACACCATCTGCCATAAGGGCCATGCCCAGGACAAAGAAAAGGGCCCACTGGAAACGACCATGACCACACTCTTGGATTATCAGCTCATACTGCTGGGCCAGCTCCTCCTCATCAGCTCTCCTCTCTGACTCCAACTCCCGTCGGTCCTTGAACTCGTCACCCTTGGGTTGCCCCACTGATACTATGCTGTCTTTTCCTTGGTTCATACTGGGGATGCCCTGATACTCCCCTTCATAGATTTCATCGTCTTCATCATGACCCTCGGTGGCCTCACTCGAGCCTTCATCATCATTGGCCTCCCCATTGTAGGTTTCTCCTGGTGGGTAGTAGTCGTCATCATCGTCCTCGTCTTGGAACCGACTGTAGGACCTCTGAGTGTACTCATCCTGTGCCCGGTCCACTGCCTGATTTACCTTCTTGACTGTTTGTTTCTTCACCTCTCTGGCAATGTCTTTGGCACCTTTCACCAGTGAAGTCCTGTCTTTATAAGAGTCTTCCATCTTGTCTCAAGTGAGGACCAAAGGGAAGATGGAGATTTTTCACACTCTGTTCAGTGGTTCAGCCCTGACAGTATCATCCACATTGGGTTGAAAACGGAACTGCAAAAGAAGAGCCAGAGGAGAGAGTCGTTATTCCTCTCTGCATCTTTGTCTCTGTCTGTTTCATAGTGTCTTTTTACAAAGACACAGAATTAGCTTTTCTTTTTTTGATCTTTACTGTACACATGTACACTCTATGCTGGTTCTCTGCTTAAGTGTAATCTGCACGGGGAGTGTTTAGGGTTTTTACTTTTATTATTATTGTTTTGTTTTAAGGAATTCTGTCTCCAGGGCAACATTATACAGGCATTTGCTTGACAATAAAGCAGCATCTTGTACTTTTAAAAAGTACACCAAATTGCTGGGCCGTACCCTAGTGGTTAAGGGAGTAAGATCCCATATGGCTGACCACAGTTTGAGTCCTGGCCCTAATGGTTTAAGAAACACGTTGGGAATGTGTGTGTACATACCTCAAATCCCAAAAGGATGGAGATATAGAGGAGAAGGGATTGCAGCATGATCACACCCCATTGGGAGGTGGCAATTAATTTCTAAAAGCAATAAATAAGTAAAAGTGTACACAACACATCTCCAAAGTGCTATAAGGATATTCCCTGATTGATAATAATAGTATTGCTCACAGACACACAGATACACACACTGCAAAGGAGAAACCCAGAGTATTAGAAAAACCCTGCCAGATGCTATTTCCTCACATTAGGGGGGAACAAAAACCTTCCCGCAAGCAGGACTATTGTTGCTGGCTAAAATCCATCAGCTGTTTCTGTGAATAACTGAGAGGCAAAACAAAGAGGGATGAACGGAGTTCACTTAGCTGCTAGAGCACAGGGGTGACCACGAGCCAACAGCCAACTCCTAGAACAGAAATTTCCAGGAGGTTATATGCCATTATACTTCTTGTTAGACCGTTGTTGTCTATAACAAATCTAGCTAATTCAATATTACTCCTACAATCATTTTCCCAAAATTGTTCTGTACACCTTTTCCTTCTACATGTCATTTACGACCCTGTTTTTGATCTTTTTTTTTAAAAAAAGAGCTATTTTTAAAAATTTAACTTTATTTATTTAGTTAATTAGTTATTTTAATTTGACCAGAGAGATCAGTAGGGAGAGAAAAAGAGAGAGAAGGAAAAAGCAGGTCACCAGGTCTGGGACTCAAACTATGGTCAGTCATGTGGGAGTTCAGCGTTCTTAACCACCATGCCACTTGCTGACCCCCCTGTTTTTGTTCTTATGGAGACATTACATTTATTAACTTAGACTTGTGACATACATTGATAGATTAAGGGAAGACACAACACATTTTCTTTAAGCTACTCTGTTTAACAAAATCTAAACATCTGTGAGTACTTATTATGTTAACAATAACATTATTACAATTTTCCCAATTTAGCCTGCTACATTGAAGGCAAACATTCCCATCTCTTGAGATTTCATACCCTAGTTGCATTCTTGTGACCACTGTCCAAAGCAAGGGGTTTAAGTTTCCTCTTCTAAGTAAACAAGTATATTTATGGCTTTATTTGTTACAACAGTTACAGATCACATTCCTTACAGTAACTACAAGCCTCAGTTAACCTTTGAAGTACAAGAAAGAGAAACGGGAGGTAAAGCCAAAAAAAGGGGCAGGGGGTAAAAATTGTTTTTCCCCCATTACACTATGATCAAACAAATTTTGTCAAAATTACATTTTCTTGCTACTTTCATTGTGTTTCCTTTCAACAAACAAGAGAGATTCACATGGCACCCAAAACTAACAACGAGTAATTCCTCCTAGTATAGAGATTGTACCTGCAGGAAACTGGCAAGAGTTCAGCAAATAATGTCATAGATGCACTTGACATTCACTGAGTTAGAACGTATGGCTTGTTAAGTGGGGTTTGCCCTTTGAGGAACTATCCCCAGGCCAGCAGGACAGGTAAGCACATGTGATGTACCTTCACAACCCCACCCTGGAAGTACTCCAGGCTTTTTATCTCTATTTTCTTTATCTCTGGACCCTCCACACACATATTCTCCCTTCTAGCTTGTCCTACTACTACTCCAGGTAGCTGTTCTTGGCACCAGTCTGTAACCTTCCATGACCTGTCATTTGCTTTCATTGCTCACTGACAGCCCCTTTTGCTTGGCCTGTTAAATTCTGGATGACCTTGGGCTGGCAGGGGGCATGGTGGTTAAGGGTGCTGGACTCCCACATGGCTGAGCGCAATTTGAGTCTAAGACCTGGTGGCTTGCTTTCTCACTTTCCCTCTCACTCTCTTTCTCTCTCTCACTCTGTCCCTCTCTGGTCAAAATAAGAAAGAAAGAAAGAAAAAGAGAGAGAGAGAGAGAGAGAGAGAGAGAGAGAGAAAGAGAGAAAGAGAAATGTTTTGGCTGACCTCACAATTACATAGAGAGCTCCCAACTTGGCATCCTTCAACTTCAGAAATTTTGACTTTATGATGGTGCAAAAGCGACACGGTCAGTAGAAAACCATGCTTCAAGTTCATATGCAACCCCTGTGTATTTAACTTTCAAAACAGTATTCAATAAACTACATGAGATATTCACTATTGCTTTATAAAATAGCCTTTGGGTTACATGATTTTGCTCAACTATAAGCTAGTGTAAGTGTTCTGAACACGTTTAAAACAAGCTAGACTAAGTTATGATGTTCAGTAGGTTGGGGATATTAATGTAGCTTTTTTTTTTTTTGGACAGGATTTTGTTATAGGGCACTCACCAGAAAGACAGAGAGACAGAGAGACAGAAGGCAAGAAATCATCCCCCAGGGAGGATGGCCATGCTGCAATTCCTTCTCTTCCATTCTCCTCTCAAGATCTTGGGCATGCATGCACATGCTCCTGGCATGAGTTTAAGCCACCGGAACCAAGACTCGAACCGCGGTCAACTACATGACAGTCCAGCGACATAGCCATTATGCCAACTGCTGGTCCCTACATGTAGCATTTTTGACTTATGGTATTTTCAATTTACAGCAGGCTTACTGAGATGCAATACCATTATTAAGTTGAGGAGCTTCTGTACTTCCCTTGTCCACTAAGCTGTCTCTTTTGGTGGCTCAAGTAGGCCAATGTCAGGCCCATTCTTGTGATATTAAGGTGAAAGTCTTCCTACTCCATTATTAATTCACCAAGTCCTAGACTGTGGCAACATTCCAAATACTGATTTACATAATGGTTCTTTTTCTTTCTTTCTTTCTTTTGGTACCTAGTGCAGAATCCTTGGTAAGTGCCTATTATAAACATACATTTAACTGCTCATCCAAATATCACGAACCCTGCAACAAAGACAAAGAAAATTGTTTATAAAGAGACTACTTCATTCCCACCAAATATCTATAATGTTCAGAGAGCAAAACAGAAACACGGCTCTGCAAAGGCCTGTGTTCTGGAAGATGGTAAAGTGAGATGAAAGGAAGCATATGATTACAAGACTTTTCACCGAATATTCGAATACAGATTTTTCTGCTTGTTCTCCGTTTTCTTTCTGGAGAACTGAAGAGAAGGTAGAGGAAGGTAAGGAGAGATGGAAGAATCAGTGAGGACAGTAAGCAAAGATGGGAAGGTGATGAGAAGAGCAGCAGAGACTGGGAGCTCCAAAACTTACGAATGCCGGGGAAAGTGAAGAAGGGGGAAGAGAGAACGACGATAAGCAATGTTGGGGATGGAGGGACATTTCCTACTTTAAATTAGCAGCAAGAAGAATAAAGAAAGACAGCTGCTATCCTAGCCACAGAATGGATGATATCTCAGACACTGCCCATCAGCAGCTTCCAGCACACAACCAGCACCAGGACACCGTTAAGGGAGCATCAAAGACTGGTGAGCTGAAAATAGAGCCTGAACCAGGGCAGCGCACTATCTCAGGGCCTTTTCACAATGGAAAGTGTCTACAACAGCTCTTTCTCCTTTCTTTCTTTGCTTTGTGTTTGTGTGTGTGTGTGTGTGTGTGCGCGCGCGCGTGTGTGTGCGTGTGTGTTTGCCATAGGGCTTGTGTGCTTGCCAGAGAGAGAGAAAGAGAGAGAATGAGAAGGAAAGTGAGAAATCACCACTGGGAGAATGGCCATGTCATAGTACCTTCTCCTCCATTCTCTTCCTGGGATTCTGGGCATGCACGCACATGTGGCTGGCATGATTTTCAAGCTACCAGGTCTGGGACTTGAACCATCTTTGGTCATGTGGGAGTGTAGTGCCTTAACCACCATGCCACCTGCTGGCTCCTGTGGTATCTTTTTCTAAGAAACTGTAAGTAAATTGACTGAATTTGACTTTTATGCTTTTGTCTTCACATATATTCTTACTTCATGCTTTAAAGGATTTTCATCTTAAAAATATGTTATGTAGGAGCCACCTGCGTAAGAGGCAAAAGATATGGTGTTTTGAATGTCATAGTTGGACTAGAAGAGTAGAAAAACAATTTTACGCTAGAGAACATATGCTAGGCATGCACACAAGAGAGAGAGAGAGAGAGAGAGAGAGGACTCTTGATAGGGCTTGGGTCTTCTGTGAACCCTTTCCCCAGCCTCCGGCTCCTCAGGAAGTTTGGTGCTTTGTCCATCAAGCATGTCTTCACCTCACACTAAACTTTATTAACATGAGCCAATGAGAAGTCCTCACTATACACTAAGGAAATATCATTTTAAGATAAATGCTAAAATCTTTCAAAATTCTAATGTATCTACTATAAAATACTACAAAACTCATTAATTAAAATTAATTAAGGGAGCGGGATGAAAGGCAGAAATCTACATTAAAATAATATTTCTAAAATGAAACAGTATTTCTCTCACATCTATCTAAAACTGAAACTATGTTTTTAAGATGGAATCACTTAGGATTTTTAAACAGAGACTTGCTAAAAAAATATGAGTACTGAGCATATCTGCATATTTTAAGCAATAAGTCATTCACAGAGCCTGGAAATGTTGACTTTTAGTATATTTATGTTCCTTTTTATGCAATCTTGACACAATTAATTTGCTTTATGAAAAATGTATCTATGCCAGGGTAAACTTGACTAAAGCAGTTGTATAAA